TCTCTTTCACCCGGTCGCTCTCCATCTTCGATCCTCTAACTCGATCTAGCTCTCTTCCTCTCGCCCTCTCTCTCTCTCTCACTCTCTCTCTCTCTCTCTCCGTCTTTCTCTGTCTCTCTTTCTCTCTCCGGGGCTATAATCGCGACGGCTTTAATCTGTCTGAATCGCGGCAGCGGCACCATGATCCGCTACCTCGATCGCTTCCTGCTGCAGGCCAACCTGCCGATCACACCTAAACCAACCCGACCGTTTTTTTCAGATCTCCTCCTCCTTTTTTTCTCTTTCTTCCCACTTTTTTCCCCTGTTCGCCGTCTCCTTTTCCTTCCACGCTTCCTCTATCCCCGGTGATTACGGGATCCGCGAAAATCACGATCGCCGGGAAGCCTGCCGTGACCCTGACTCGTACGGCACACCTGATGAAACCGACATCCGTGGGCGTACCCGAGCGTAGGAAGCAGGCGAATTTCGCTGGCGTTTCCGCGTTCGCGTCGCCGATTTTTAGTACGTCCGCGCGTGGGCGATCCTTCCGCGAGCTTCCCGGTAACGGAAAGTTTTCCGCTTTCCTCGGGCGAATCCGAGATTTCGAGAATCTCGCGGTGGTGCGGGGTCGCAGAAGGTGTCGGCGAATTGTTTTCGACGTCCCGCGCGTAATGGAGAAAGTCATCCTCTAGGGGAATGATCGAAGGGGGTCCGTGATGCGTGGCCAATTAACGACTCCTCGGCTGTTCCTGGGACGGCGAATCCGTGCATGAAGACTGGAGGAAGGCGCGTCAATGGCCAGTCGAGCGGAGACCGTGTCAGAATGGCAGCCGAGAAATTTCTAGCGACGTTACGGAATGATCGTCTATGGACCGTCTATAAGGCAATGGTATAGTCTAGAAGGTAGTGCCGGTCCGGTGCTCGGTACCAGACGGTCGAAGTCATCGTTGTAGGTTTCCCTTGCGATATTAATCACGCGTGCACGCCTCGGCGTGTAGCCTCGCCGCGGAGTAACAATCTCTAATCCCCGATCAAACGGCGCTCGATTAGCCCAATAAGAGGGCAACGACGAACGGCTTTACATACTTGGCTGGCTCGCTCGCGCGCGCTTTCTACTCGGGCCCCGTGCGCGGCTGGCTCGCCTAAACGATCGACGCCCGATCGCCGAGGCTTCTAATTCGCGGAGCGTCGACAATTCGACGTGGTTCGCTAGATAAAAGGGTCAGAGGTCCCCGGGAACGTCTCAAAGTTCCTTCTCGGGTGAACTCCGATGTAAAGTACTGCATACGTTTCACGCGGAGGATTCGTGTAGCGATGGAGTCCCGTTTTTTCCAGACGACCACAGGATCTTTATGTAACCCGCCGGCGGAACCTTGACCTTGCAAAGGTCTATCGCGACGTTGACCGGTATTTTCGAGGAGAGTCTACATTCGACGTGTTTATTAATAGCGCGATTAAGCGGATCGATGCGCGAGGTGTTACCGAATTAAATGGTTAACGTGCCGGGACTATGAATAGGAAAAGCGTCGTGGAGATTTGGATTTATAGACGGTTCAACGGAATATTATTCGATGTTCTTGTTGGTGCGAATATTCGTGTGTTTGCGAACATTTGGATTAAAGTTTGTGAAAGATAAAAATAGTAAGTCTATAAAGTTCAAAACAGGATGTTTCTACTATTTTTAGTACAATACAGAAACTTTTGAAGTTCATCTGATTATCGATTCGCGAAGTAAATTTTATAAAATGTTAAACGATTTTATTCTTTTGTATCGTTTAATTATATGTTCCATCGTTTATTTTACAATCATTTTAATATTTGAATGCCGCCCGAATTCTTTTATCACTCTCATTTCTACTTGTTAATTCAAATTACGTGTATAATACATTATGAATTATTAAATATGTCACTGTAATTTATTCATCATTCGGTCCTCTCAAATTATTCACTGTATTTAATGCGAATACATTGAATCATTTATCTATATCGGGTAGCACCGTTTATAGCTCTCCGGAAACCAAAAATCATCATTAATTTCTAATTATAAACCCCAGACTGCTGCATCAAAACGAAAAGAACTTTCAGAAGTATTGCGAAAGAAAGAACCTCCAACTTCTACTAAAAGATGTTATCACGGTCTAACCGGAAAAACCTGATCAACATTCTAATTCATCAAATCAAACTTTCGCCACAAGTTTCACTCAAAATCGTGTCCCAATAATTAATACTAGGCGAGATATCCCCAGAGACACTCATTTACACGAATCTTGCAAATTAGCTCTCCGAAAACATAAAATTAGAATTCCTACCCAGATAGCTGCATCGATGAAAATCGACATGAGCTTTTACCAAACATTGTTCATGAAGTTGAATATCCTGCAATTGAACGGGTTTCATAAATCTAGCGTTAATTCATCGACAAATAACTCCTCCGGCAATCGGCAATTCGAATGAAACGTATCAGAGCCGGGGGTAGTATCGCTGCATCGCGTCGGTTGGCCCTTAAAATGGAGACGATCCACGCAGGGCTGAATTCGCGGACGCATTCGGGGGCAGATAGCTGGGCCGGCTGCACGACGTGGCTGGGTATATCCAGCGAGTTTCGAAAGATTCTTGGAGTTGTAGGGAAGACAGCCGGTCCGGGCCGGCCGGCGGAATATCGTCAATAATTACCTCGTGCGGCAAGTGGTGATGAGGATGCTGATACGGCGGCGGTACGTACGGCGGGTGGCTCGGATGGTTGTGGGGGTGAGGTCGGGGATGGTTTTGATGCTGGGCTTGCGGCGGTAGCGGTTGGGACGCAGGAGGCGGTGTCCAAGGCCATTGGTTCGGCCCGTGGCTTTCATTGGTGCCATACATCTTCAGGGAAGAATCCCGAGCACGCGACCTGAAGAGTCCCTCCCGCCCTCCACGCACGGCGATACGAAAGTCTCTGATACCGACATGGCTACCCTTATTCCAGGTCGCAGCGGCGACGCGCTCGATCCTGACCAGTCCTCCAACATGCTATTCCAAACCTCTCTCTCTCTTTCTTACTCTCTCTCTCTCTCTTTCTCCGTCTCTTTCTCCCCCTTTCTCTCTTTCGACACCGATAATCCTCTTCTCGGGTTTTATCGTGTTCCACGGATTTTTCTCTGACTTCCGATAGTAGCTAGGTCCACAGCCGGTCTCGCTGATATTTACAATCCTGATCCTCGGCCATTTTTCCTCAGAGGGTAGAGAGGTCTTTGCGCAACCAGACGCGGAGAAACCGTTGCGTGAGAGACACTCTTCGGGCACGGGCACATCTGCACGCGAGGGCGTGATTCTTCTTTTGTCCCAGGGACCAGTATCCTGCCGTGTGAGAACGGTATCGTTCCACTTTCACGTGTTCACATTTTCCGCCGTGATCCCGGCTCGTTCCTCGTACCAACCACTTCTGCGTTTTTCCTCCAGCCAGCGATTTCGTTGGCAGCCACCGTCGAGCCCGGATCACCACTCTCACCCCCGACGACGTTATCCTTCGCGCACCGATTAGCACGGTTGCATAAGCGGGGAACAAAGTCCTCGCCTCGGATATTGTCCGACGATGGATGGACGGTCCAGCAGCCTTTGTTTGCTAATCCCGCGGATGAGGAAGAGACTCGGAGGGAATCCAGAGGACAATTCCGCGTCTTCGGCGAAGCTTCCTCTTGGCGGGAAGACGTGTTCTAACCCGGGACTCTAGTCACGAGCTGCGGCGAACACACACGGTGACGGAACTCGTGGAATGGATATTCCTAGCGCGCACTTGTTCACGTTTACGGGAATACTCCTTTTTACCGGGATCACTGGGGCCACCCTTGTAACTCGGACGCGAGAATCGGCGAACCGGACCGGAAGGGAATCGGACTGATCCAGCGAGGGG